TGCATGTCTTTTACAGTACACAACTTCAGCCTCCGTCATTGAGTACTCACACTAAGTTCCTGCCTCTGTGCGATCTTGCTACACGCTCTGAACCTCAAACTCACCGGAAACATCGCGAGACTCTCTCTCATTGGCCGTGAGGGGAGCTTCGCTACCAATCGTGTACATTACCTGGTGATGCAGCTCGCTGGACGAGCCTTCTAACCCAGGTTACTAAGCGATACTGGTAATTAGTGAATCCCATTTAAGTCTCACATTAACAGACTCACAGGGATACCACAATTGAGTTTGGAGGAGCCGACCATTCGGCATAACAATTGATTAATAAACAGCATTAAATAGTAATTAATTCAACTTTAATTAATTCAAACATATTGGTGGAGATATTAAAAATTACCTGAGCTAATAATTCCTACACTTATGAGGAAAATTCGATCAGAACTCGAACTTTTTAGTATTCGATCCAGAGTTCTGAACGGATTAAGTTCAAGTTCTGAGGTACATCTGTATTTTACAACGAGAGTGACAAAATCACAAGAAACTCTGTACAGTAATGAGATGAAAAATGAGAAGTATGCAGTAAATGTGCCAGTGTTAACATTGTGTGTTTATATGGGTCCACACTATTCAGTGTTACCTTTAACACTTTACAGTGTGCAATGAGTGTTGTTTTTACAGTGTTAATATTTTTTAACTCTTATAGTATTCAATTTACAGCCTAGAGTGTTAAGACAATGTGTCTCCACCTCTTCCCAAATTGCAAGCCCATATGGGGGGCACACAAGTATATAATGGATGGCCCATATCTGCCCCATTTTAATGTACTCTCATTTAAACTCATTTGGGCATTAGGCTGCTGTGTTTTACTAACCCACTATAAAAAGAAAGACTAAGACCAACATAGCCTTTTCTATTTTTATGCAAGTTTTATTTCAGCTCAGCTCCTGGTAACTAAAAAACCGTGCTCATGTAAGTTGGAGAACATTGAAAAACCGTCATTATTAATGTGTTTATTTAAGCATGAATAACATTGTTTTTTTTCAATGAGAGTGTGAAAGAACCAGTCAAGCTCTCTTGAGACCCGCCTGTGGTATAAAAGTAAAACGTATGGTACCAGTCACCAAACACAGATTATGAAACCAATGTTTTTTCTAGTTAAACCATAGAGGCTACACTATCTCACCTATTCACTGGCTAGCACACAAGAGTCATTTCTGTGGTTTTTGTTCTCTTGCCCTATTCACCACAATCACGGTGGATTTAAAAAAACAATCTCAAGTCAAAAACAGTACTTTGTTATGCTATGCAAATATACATCCAGCACCATTGGTCTGCTGGAGAGTGGGCAGTACCAAGAGATGTACAGAAAATGGTATCACAACTGTCCTAAAACCTTTCCACATATGTTAATCATCCAAGGGCAGGACTAGCAATCAAATACACCACCACACCATTAAAATATATACCACTCTTGAAATGTGTCCTGTACACCTTCAAGAGCTTTTTCTCTGACTCAATGGCAACAAGCTATAAAAGCACATATAGAACAAGAAAAAGCTGTAAGGTCCTTTTTGGTCAGAGTCTTTCTCATGATGGTGGATAAATCAGGGATGGCTCTTCTGATCCTCATGCCTTCTTGTGCACATATTAAAATGGGGCGGATATGTGGAGGTGGAGACTCTTTGACTTAACACTGTAACAACGGAACACTATAAAAGTTAATAAATATTAACACTGTGAAAACAACACTCACTGCATACTGTAAAGTGTTAAATGTAACACTGAATGGTGAGGACCCATATAAACACCATGCAGTATTAATTTAACACTGGCACATTTGCTGTGTATGTGCTAAAACACTGAAGTATGTTTGGCATCTTCAAAGATACACCACAGTGTGTTTAATGTTTTACCAGGAGCTGCTGCTTTATCCTGCTTTACTTTAATGATTCATATCTATTAATTACACTTAAACTTACCTGTTAGGGCACCCACCAGAATGATGGGAAATGCAGTTCTCAAGGTGATGCGTATAATTAATTGCCCTGTAACTGCAAAATGAAGAGTTAATTTTAAAATCAAATAAAAATGGGATAATTTAAAGGATGTTGCATTCAGCCCATCACACATCACAACAGCTACACCTAATTATAGGAAAAATATGTAGCAATGTCAGACCATTAATGACCATTCATTCCATGAGAACAAATTACATTCAAATTCATCATACCTGATCATGAGCTGTTAGATGATAATTTTACACACATTAGCAGCAGAAGACATCTTTATTCAAAGTAAAAGTCTGTATGACCCACATTACAGTAAGAGCTGGACAGTGCACTGAGAGAACTCTAATACCAACAGTAACTGGGATGTGGGAGAACCAGCAATCATATGGAAAAATGTACTAATGGATTGTATTAATATGTTTTAGTGCATGTTTCATAAATTACAGAAATTTGGACAAATAGACAATTATTCATTCCTAAATTCTTCTGTTGCTGTGATGCTCCTGGATACATCCTCAGTGATGTTCCTGGAATCACCAGGGGCCTCATGTATAAACGGTGCTTACGCACAAAAATGTTGCGCACGTCTGTTTCCACGCTCAGGTCGAGATGTATAAAAACTAAACTTGGCGTACCGCCACGCACATTCTCACGGCAACCCCAGACAAGGCGTACGCAAGTTTCTGCTCGATTTGTCAAAATGGAGGCACCTACTGGCAAAAGAGTGCTAC